CAGCAAAAACGCATAAAAACTAGTGAGCTAGACATTTACACAGAGATTCGAAATTCACCAGGCGTTTCTTTTCTTGCTTCTGCTGGCATATCAGCAGAGAAGTTCGAACTGCCAAGATAAGTTCAGAGTCGGAAAAAATGATGCTTTTCTTGCAAAATCGAAAAAATGAACAAAAGGAAATCCTACTGATAAATTCTGTGAACTGTCGACGAGAAATTACTCGACAGATTCGTCAGAGGAAGAAAAGAGAGGGGGATGGGAGCAAAACGAAGAAGGAATTGGGATCATTGCTGTCGGATTCAAGAAGCAATGCAATAACTGAGTAAAAATTCATCCACAGTTCAAGTGCAAAAAAAAAGGGAAAGCGACCGAACCGCATGTGTATTGCATCTCAAAAGGGACGTACTCCGGCGAGATCATTTCGACCACTCCGATTCCTTCGAGGCCATCCACAAGTTCGCCTATTTCATACGGCTCCAGATAGTCAACGCCTGTCGATTTGTTCATTCGACATCTCTCAAATTACAGCACAATTGGCATTTAGAATTCAGATAAAGCGGGAATGAAGTGCATATAACCGCATAATACCTTATCACCCTTTTCATCCCCCACTCCCCCTCCCCTGCCCTGCCCTTCCATTATAAATGACGGGTCCTCTCATGAACAAACGGGCCCTGCTTTTCCGTTAAGTTAATCACACCAACTAAGATAATCTTTCAAAATCGCAAAAACAACCAAACATTTAAAAACTTGCTTTGTCTTCGAAACAAACTTTCAAACTTCTATGCCTTGATTTTTGAACAAAGGGAAGAAAACCAATGCAGTTCGAGAGCCGGAAATTTAAAAGCGTTCAGAAACTGACCAAATATTGCACAGGACCCTTTATGCACAGGACTCTTAATCATGTAATCACTCATCTATAGCTGCGGAATGTTTGTGTAAAATTTCAACTTCCTACTTTTGCGCTTTCAGGGGGAATTACCGTTGTATATGTACACAGGTGCACAAATAAATTCCTCAAAACAGGGACCTATTTTATTCAAAAAAAAA